GGTCTTGTCAGTCCTGATCTCCCCTTCTGGAGAGTGGTTTGTACTAAAAAAATGTGTACATTGGTACAGGATTTGATTGTTTTGTGAAAAATTTCCAAAATTAAAATGTAAGATGTGAAAGTCAACCCTACCACTACAAGAAAAATGAGGCATCACTGCTAAAAATTTATTTGCAGGCTTCTGGGCTAAATAAAAATATTTTGAATAATTTTAAATAATTTTCCTGCAATGAGAAAGTTTGCACGTTTTCTATTCTTTCATCATGAATGTTGAATGAGAAGGTTACTTCAATTCTTCTTGGTGAGCAAGGGCTACAATTTGTGAAGATCATTATAAAATGAAGAGAGAATAGCTTGTAAATTTTGTTTTCATCTTACATTAATTATTTGTAGGATTCTGGCCCAGGAACTTGGTAACCATGTAATTTGAATGTACTCAACAGAAAATTTGGACAAACCCTAAATTTTATCAGCAGACTTGAATTATAATAATCATTTAAAAAAGGCATAATTGCCAACTTACACATGGTTAAAAAGCCATGTCCTGGAGCTTGTAAGTGTTTTTCCTCAGAAGACAAGATGGATGCCTCCTTGATGGAGTCCTGATTTTTATTTGTTGCAGGGGAATATGGATCAGAACAAAGGCAGGCAGGGACATGCATTTATGGAAAAAGTCTGAAAAGGCTCGCTTGGAATTGCGCCAACATGTGTTTGTGAATGCCACTCAAACCAGATTGCTGGACAGAATGGTGTCTCCTTATTGGCGCCGTCCTCGGTATTGGGTGGACGACCCTTACCAACCTTACCAAGAGCGAAATAACTTTTGGTCGACTCGCAAGAAACCATTACCGTGATGCAAGTGTTCTTGTTGTGCTTTTTTGTTGTTGTCGTAGTTTTCGATTTGGCGTTTGAGGATATTTCTTGCAACAGTTACGAAAGAGTTGATTTCTTTCTTTCTTTTTGGGACGTCTGTGGGAATGTTGACCGTTGATCCTGTGTTTGTGTTTCAGGTTGTGTCGTATTGATGAAAATATGTGGAAAACTTTGGTGACTGCGAGTTTCAGACCTTTTCAGGTGAGTTTCCAGAGTAAGATGTGTAAGATACTTGAAGAATTTTCACTCAGGAATGATTGCAAACTTGAGGCAAAATTTTCTATTGAGCCCTTCATAAATTCTTGGGGAAGCTTTGGTTTTCCTTTTCCTGTTTCATGAGTTAGTTATGGTACTGTTGTAAGTCATGTAAGATTATTCAAAATTTTAAAGTTAATTGGAGAAAAAAAATCTGCCTGAATTTTCAATTTATGTTGACCATGCTTTCTTCTGAATTTTTGATAATAGAATATCATTTTTAAGTTGGAAAAGAGTATTTACCGAAATTATATAGAAGTGTTCCTATTTATTTCACTTCTATAAGATGATGTTCGGGAATCTTTTTCAGGCTAGAAAAGTATCACTGCTGGCTCCATGTTGCAGACAGGTGGATATTCCAGTGGATCCAGAGTCCCATGAACCCACAATTCCACCATATGAAGAAAAGCCAAACGAGCCTACGCAAACAAAGCGAGCAAGGTGACGTTTTTGTGGTGCTTTTTATTGATCAGCGTTTTTATGGAAAACTTGTTATTTCTACAGATTATTGTATCAGTCAAGGAAGAGAGGAATGTTGGAAAATGGCCTCCTGTTGAGCACGTTTGCAGACAAGTATCTTGGAAATATGACAGAAACACAGCTGAAGGACTATGACAGGCTCATCAACCTACCCTCTAATGATTGGGACATTTATTACTGGGCTGTTGGTAAGTTGTGTGGTTTTGCTGTATCATTTTGTG